GACTTACAACCATTCATTTAGTGACCGTTCAAAGTTACAACGGCACTGAAACATGCTACTTATGACCGTTTTTCACAGTTACGACCTTTGCAGCATCCCCAAGATCATGTGATCAAAATTCAGATGCTTGGCAACTGACTCATATTTATGGCCATCACTGTGCGCCAGGGTCGTGTGATCCTCCTTTTGCGACCTTCCAACAAGCAAAGTCGTAGGGGGAAGCTGGATTCCCTTAATAACCGGGATACTAACTTAACAGCTGCAGTGATCTGCTTAACAATAGTGGCAAGAAAGGTCATAAAATGAAACAAAAGTCACTAAACAAACATCTCTCTTAATAACAGATCTTTTGGGCTCCGTTATGGTCATAAGTCAAGGATCACCTGTATGTGTGATGGTTGCAGCAACTTGGGATCACCTGGTCACTATTTGAGACCTGCTCAATTGGCTTCCAACAAACCAATGGGGAAAATGAGATCCGCCTAATGACTGCATTATTCACTTAACAACCTGAGTTATTCATTTAACAATGGAAGAAAAGATAGTAAAAGGCCAGGCACAAGTCACTAAGCACCACAAACTCTCGTTCCAACTGTGGTTGTAAGTTGAGGACTACCTACACAGGCAGTCCCTGATTTACAACCATTCATTTAGTGACTGTTCGAAGTTACTGAATGGCTTGTCAGAGGGTCGCAAAAGGGGATTGCGAGACCCCAGACCCTGCAACCATCATAAATATGAGTCGGTTGCCACATGTCTGAATTTCGATCAGGTGACCATGGGGATGCTGCAACAGTTGTAAGTGTGAAAAACAGTCATGACTCCTTTTTTCAGTGCCATTGTAATTTTGAACGCTAAATACCAATAGCCCTTAGACTTATATACCGCTTTACAGTCCTTTTACAACCATCTCTAAGCATAATGTCCCCAACCATCTGGGTCCTCATTTTACCGACCTCAGAAGGAAGGAAAGCTGAGTCGACCTTGAAACGGTCCAGATTACGGGCAGAATTAGCTTGCAATACCACATTCTAACCACTGAGCCACCAGGGCTCTAAGTGAGCTGTTGTAAATCGAGGACTAGCTTTATTCCAGAAATCTTCAATTTTTGGTCTAGTTTTGAGTCTAGAATAGACCCAAACTGCCAAATGTCTCAACTTCATTTGGTTCCTTCAAATTTTTCCCCCAGTGGTGGCAAATTCTGTGGATCTTCAAACTGTGAATCACAAATTCTTCCTTCCTTCCTTCCTTCCTTCCTTCCTTCCTTCCTTCCTTCCTTCCTTCCTTCCTTCCTTCCTTCTCTCTCTCTTTTTTTTCCTGGAAGCTGTTGTGATTCTGTGCCAGCCTGTGCTCCCAACAGCTGAGTCTGAGGAATCTGAGGAGGAGGTGGAGGAGGCATTTGAAGGGCCCTCAGGGGCAGAGGGAGGCTCTGATGAATTACAGGACTCATGGTTTGATGCAGAGCCTGGGCTCTCCAGTCGTGTTCCTGATGAAGCTCAGCTGTGTGAGGAGAATGAGTTAGACTCAGAAGATTCACACCTGATGGACTTGCTAATTGATGTTCGCACACGTCGTCAATTAGCGAGAGTAAATCAGCAGCAGTCAATACGGCAACTCCAGGGTAAAAGGAGAAGGCAATGAGAGGCAACGCCTTGGAACTGCTGTATAAAAAGAGGAGGTGTGGGCGGTGCTGGTTGCTGAAGGCAACCGTTTGCAAAATACTTCTTGGAATTCTGGTCTGTTCATCTTGCTTGTGACTACTCTTCTGTTTGCATTGTGTTTCCTGTGGACTATTTCCTTCACTTGGACTTGAGTTTTGCTCTTTGTGTTTTGGACTATTTGGCAGGTTTGTCACCCATATTAAAAGGGGTTTGTTTTGTTTTAAAGTCTCCAGCCTATTTTATCAGCAGGTGTTTGGTCCTTGTGCCTTTAACAAGGACAGCAATAGGCTGGGATAGAACAGTAGCACACAAATATCTGGATTGCATCTCCCAAGATTCACGAGAGACAGAGGGCAATTAAAAGCACCTGGCACCTCCTGAAGTTTGTTTCTGAACAGACAGATTTCGATGTAAGTCACAGTTTTGGATGAGAAGTGAAATGTTTTTCAGAGGAAAAATAACGAAGAAAGTCCAGTTGCCTTTTGGAAAAAGTACCTTTGGGATGTGACCAGGATGCTATAAAGAGTCATGCTTGAGCAGCGGGTTGGAGGAGAAGAAATCCACAGTCCCTTCCAGCTTTGTGGTTCTGTGATTCTAAGCTTCTATGATTCTAAGCTTCTATGATACTATGATTCTATATTTCTAAGATTCTGTGATTCTATGTGTTGTGTTCTGGGCCTGATGAGGCAGCTCAGCAGGCCCAGAAATGTTGCAAATGGTCCTGGGCAAACCAAAAGCTGCCCAGGACTAGACTGGTTGGCGCCGGCCTTGCGCACAGGCGCAAGGCACGAACAAAGGAGATTTAGGATAGGCTGTTTGGGAAACTATAAAAGGCCTGTAAGCCTGTTGGTTACTGAGTGGTAACGTGGATCAAATAAAGAAGAACTTGGTTACAACATGAATGTGTGTGTCGCTTCAATGCCGCGAACCCCAAGACATAAAACTATGAGTCTAAGATTCTATGATTATAAGGTTCCATGATTATAAGATTGTATAATTCTATGATTCTCAGATTCTGTGATTCTAAGATTCTGATTCTATGATACCATAATTCTAAGATGCTACGATTCCATGATTACAAGTTTCTATCATTCTATGATTCTGTGATTGTATGATTCTGTGATTCTATGATTCTAAGGCTCCATGATTTATATTCTATGATTTCAGCAGGCTGAAAGCTTCATGAGCCCCCTTATCATCTTTCTCCTCCTTTCTCCTTCCTTTCATTAGACCACAGCTGACTTTTTTCTGCTGGGGCAGCTGGTGGCATTGCTGGGCCTGCACATTGGTGACAGTTTGAAAGAAATTGGCCAGACTTCTGCGGAGACCGCCTACTACCGCCACTGCATCATCATGAACAAAATGGGTAAAAAATTTTGACTCCCTTGCCAAGGGGCTGACGTGCTGTAAGGAGACCACAGATGCAGGCTGCCCAGGAGAGCACTGTGTGGCACAGCCTCTGGCTTGACCAAGATCCTGGGTATCGGGCTTGGCAGAATTGCCTTGAATTTGCAATTGATATTGGCATCTCTCAGGGCCAGAGGTCCTTTAAAGATTGACTTCTCATGTTACATGGGTCAATTCGGCTAAGCATCTCTGGTCACCCATCACAGGATTGTCAGTCTTGGCCCAATGAGTGCTTAGCCTTACAATAAATTATATGTTAGTTTTATAGTTTCAACACCATTTCATATGTCTTCTCATTTTTTAATTGAGAGTTGTCCACAATCGGTTTAAAGCCTGGCAGTTGGACAAATGCTTTAAATAAAGTAAAGGATCCATTAAATTTGGTTAGTTAAAAGCTTAACCCAGTGTTTGTGAACCTTGTCAACTTTAAGACGTATGGATTTCAGCTCCCAGAATTCCCCAGGCACCATGAAATTAATTCAGAACCGAATGCTTAATTTGCACAACAGACAAATGTAGTCAGAGTTAAAGCTGGTTAGATTTGTTCGTTCATTCGTTCATTCATTCGTTCATTCATTCAGTCATTCATTCATGTAATTTATCTCTTATATAACGCTGTTTATTTTCTCTTTAAGGTCCAGCCTATTGTGTTAACTTTGAAAAGGGATTACAGATAGTCCTTGACTTACCACAATTCATTTGATGGCTGTTTAAAGTTACAGCGCCATGGAAAAAAGTGATTTAGGACCCTTTTTCACATTTACAGCGGTTGCAGCATACCCGTGGTGATGTTGCTGGAGTTCTTGTAACTGTATCCCATTCACCTCAATAGATTGTGCTAAAGAAAACTCTGTGGAGTTCCATTTACCTGAACCAAACCCTCCTGCTTAGCCTGAAAACAACAAAACAAAGGGAGGGGAATAAACTTTAGAATTGTTTTTTTTTAAAAAATAGTTATTCAATTAGTTTCTGTCTGCATGGCCTGACATTCATAGTAGAAAACTGATCAATCTCAAAAAACGTTATACCTGAAAAAGCAACTCATGGGCTGAACTTGCCTTGGGTCACCTCCAATCTATATGCTTTAAGTGCCTGAATAAACACTTTTTTTTCAGGAAAAAAAGACTGTTTGCCACTCATGCAGTTGCTGTGGGGCATTTTTTGCTTAAACATAAAGCAACCAGTTTGGCCCTCCATGTATTGGAAAAACTGGACCAAAAAACCTTTCCTTTCCTTTCCTTTCCTTTCCTTTCCTTTCCTTTCCTCTCCTCTTCCTTTTTCCTTCTTTCCTCTGCAACCAAGACATAAAGTTATGATTCTAAGCAACAGAAAAGTAATAGAAAATCAGAAGAAGCTAGGATTAAATGGTAAGCAGTGATGAAGGTAACTGAGAAATCTTCAATAGATATAATGCAATAAAACGTTTAGTTTGTTTCCCCCCCTCTCTTTTTCCTTGGGAGGGTTTGCTCTCAACAAGAGCCTATTAGTACCTAATAATTAGAGGCATAGCAATGGCCAGGAAAAAATATGAACTGAGCCTTATAGAGCTTACGCGTGAGAAGATGTTCATGAGGACTATTGGGGAAGGGAACGAATCCTAATCCTGACAATATCTTTAATATCGGAGTGGTAAACAGATGATAATATAATGCACTTGAACCAGTCTCTGATGCCTCTATGAAGTAGATTTTTGAAAGTCTGCCTAGTACTGTACAGGCACTGTTTTATGTTTCTTTGACTAGAGAAACCTGTGCTTGACATCAACTTTCCGATTCAATCTTATATCAGTTGTTATTGCTGTTGAATGTTCTAGCCTGGGTTAACCAGTTCCCCAAAGAGCCTTGTTTTTGCACCAATGTCTCTTCCTTGGGGTGCCACAATCTAGAAATTATCTCTGCCTCCTCACCATTGTCTGCACATCTGCTTTGAGAGAGGAAATGCTCCCCCATGAAACCTGAACCCTTGTTCAAAACTGAAAAAGTTGTAAAGAATCTCTTCACCAAAAAAGAAACGGGACCTCAGTGGAGACATCAAAGCTTTTTGCCAGAGGTACAGTCTAATATTTAGTATTCTTTTTTTTTTTACTGGACACAAACCAGTAAACATTTTATTTAAGAGTTTTCTCTTTCTCTCTCTACATCAGAAATGTACAGAATTGCACTTCATCCTCATACACTATTGCTACCCTGTGTGCTGTATTTGAGTGAAACCCAGAAGGAAGGCAATTCCTTGTTCAGCTTTTCTCTCCTCTCCCTCCCTCCAATTCCTTTAATGCAGAGCGCATTTTTGCAAAGCTGTGGCATATATAGAAGCTGTGAGATGAAGAGTCCAAGAAAGAAAGTTGAAAAGGACTGTTATGGATAGAATTTGGTTTGTTCTACAGTAGCTAAATACTGTAGCGCAGGAAACAGTCACAGAATCTGAGGAAAGGCTGTTGTGTAACTGCTTTGCATACAGCATTTTGCAAAGTTGTGTTTTATATATAGAGGCAATGAGATTAGGTGATGCAGCAGTGAGAAGACATTGCAATGGAAGGATTAAGTTATTCCATTTAGACTCCTTGGCTAAGGAGCATAGGAGGCAAAGGCTGGTTCTCAGCTGGGGAGAAGAGGCTGTAGAGCTGAATGTCACAATGGAACTCCTCCTCCCTCTTCGGATAGGGCTGGGAAAAGTGCTTGTCAGAAGGAGCCCATCTATGACAGTCAGGGCATTGAGGATTGGAGGCAATGGATTAAAGCTCTGCCTCAGTAGAAGGCCTCCATATGATCATTTACAAGGAACTCTCATTCTTATAGACTACTTTATATACAAAGGGTTCTCAACATATTGCATTGTAAAAATGGAACCCAGTACAGTTGTGTTGTGTGGTTCCTCTATCAAATTATCCTCCTCAAATTGCCTTTTTGCAAACTGGAAGATAAAGATATGGATGGGATATGAAGGTGTTGGTGAATGCAGAAAAGGAAATTGAAAAAAGACTGTTATGGATAGAATTTGATTTGTCCTACAGTAGTTAAATACTGTAGCACAGGAAACAATCACAGACTCTGGAGAAAAGCTGTTGCGTAACTGCTTTGCATACAGAATTTCCCAAACACAATCCTTGGTCATCCACAAAGAGCCATGATGCTGCTGCCAGTTAGGACACACGAGGATGGATGAAATAGATGAATGATCTGTGGCAAGTGGAAGACAGCTTGCTGTATTTTGAAGGCTACTAAATGGGCCATTTCAACCTGAGTATTTATCACTTCAGAGGAAGAAGAGACCGTCTTACAGGCAAGGAACAATGAAATAATTTTGTTTGTAATACACTATATCATCACAATTAGATTGCTGAATAGATATTTATAAAAGTACACTCTATGTTGGTCAGTTTCTTTAGCCAGGCTCACTTTGATTCAGAAAAGTCACTCACCGTTCATTTCAACTATCTCTAAATCAGGCCTCAAGAGTGAATAAAGAAACTGGGGGATCTTTTTTCCTAAGGTGACTATATATCACTTTAAAATGGATCACCTTAAGTATCACCTCCAATTCGAAATGTCATTCCTCCAAACTGGAGAAGCCACGTGAAACTCTTTTGTTTTAACTGTCCTAAACAATTAAGTGGCATCTGCTATTTAGACACCAAACTCACAACAACACATGCCTAAGCCATAAATAAAATATCATAACACCAACCTATATTCTGTGAGCCTAGGAGCTATCGCAAATAGAATACTAAACATCTAATATCAATCTTCTTTATTGCAAGTTTATGTTCTGTGACGTGAATTTGAAGAAATTTGTGTATGCCTTTACCATTGCCAGATATATACTGAAATAAATGTGCTGCCCATGTCCCATTGCTGGAATACAAATCAAAATAATTCAGTTGGCTTAAAGACTAGAAATCACCCATACCAATTTCTCCCATATCCTGAAGTACTGTATTTCTTTTCCTTCATATCTAGGTGAAGTACCAACCTGATATGTAAATACAAATATGCAAAAATCTGTATTTTCAGCTGACCTATGGAAAAGAATCAGGAGAACCAAACCAACTTTGTTGGATTCATCCTCCTGGGTTTTTCTTCCTCTCCAGAGTTTCAAGGACTACTTTTTCCTGTTTTCCTTTGTATGTACTTGCTTTGTCTGCTGGGAAACCTCATGATAATCCTGCTGATCTTCTCCAGTGCCAGCCTCCTCCATGCTCCCATGTATTTTTTCCTCTGTCACCTGTCATTGGCTGATCTCGGATTGAGCTCCACCATTGTACCCCAAATGCAGCAGAGCCTGCTGTCCCGCACAAACTTCATATCCTTTAGTGGTTGCCTGACACAGATGTATTTCTTTGTGAGCTTCTGTGCAGCAGATAACTTTCTCCTGGCCTCCATGGCATATGACCGCTACGTAGCCATTTGTCGTCCATTGCATTATGCAACAATCATGAGCTATAGGTGCTGCATACAGCTGGCTGCTGCATGTTGCCTCCTGGCTTATGCCCACTCCCTACTGTATGTCCTTTCAATGTGTAATTTTAAGTTTTGTGCTTCCCGAGAGATTCCCCATTTCTTCTGTGACCTCCATCCTTTGCTGAAGCTCTTCTGCTCTGACACCTCATCTGTTGAAATGCTGCTTGTCACTGAAGGCACTGCATTTCTTCTTGGACCCCTTTTGCTGGTTATTTTTTCCTACCTTTTCATTGTATTCAAAGTTTTGAAAATACCCTCAGGCCTCAGGAAATACAAGGCCTTCTCCACCTGCATCTCCCATCTTACTACAGTTGCTTTGTTTTATGGGGCCCTGTTAGGCATCTACATCCGCCCGTCCTCCACTTATGCTGGGTCAAATTGAAAATTGCATCCATATTATACACAGTGGTGACTCCCATGCTCAATCCTTTCATATACAGCCTGCGGAACAGTACAATGCAGGAGGCTATGAAAAGAATATTAAGAGGCTGGTTTCAGAAGAGATGACCTGTAATGAAACTGAAGCTGCCGCAAAAGAAATTGCAAATCAACTGGAAAACCAGTAAGTATGGCACTCAGACAAAATATGAGATTTTTTTAATGGAAACTTTGTTGTTCCAGATTGAAAATAAAAGCCCTATCTTTTTTTTTCCTTCCAATAAAAACAGGGCAAGTTTCTCTAAGAAGGCCAACTGATGGTTGTAAACTTCATATATTATGTCTTTCATTTCGAAATTTAAAAGTGAATTCTTAGGGTGACTCTGCAAGATGATGTTTTTATGCTATATTGTTACTACAATAAAGGACACTATTGGCTCTGAAGATTATCCCATAAATCTTTAGTCTTCTTTTGGTAATCTCAGTATATCTTGTATAATCTTTAAATTTCCTGAATTTCCACAATGTTCACATTTTACATTTTGGCTTTCAATGTTCGTGTTTGAATGAAATAATAAGCATGAATTACTTAATAGCATGGGGTTACACCTTTGCCAATATGAATTTATTTTATCAATATGTATGTTTTTACTCTGCTGTGAAGCAAATTTTCTTTTGCACGCTTATGAGAAATGAATCTTCATATCATGAAAATACTGTATGGGTCCCATGAAGACAGATCTCCATCGAGTCCTGGGAATGCTTTCCTCCAGACTTCCTGCCTCTCTTTAAATCTTTTTAAACTCCTTCACAGTCTTCCAGCTCTGGCTGCCAATGACACATTCTCATCAAACGGTTATTGCCTTTGAAAGGAGGCCTTGCTACACTTTGTGATGTGTTCTGCTAGGTGTCTAATAAATGCTTTTACTTCTTCCATCAACAGTGCCTAAGCTGTTTTAAGGTGGGTTTGGAAAGAGATGTGGAGGACAAAACCAATGAGACTGACCCTGGTGGAATATCAATCACAGCAGGCAAGAGGCTGAGGCTAGACAGTTACGGATTTATTCTCTGTCCCTGTCTTTGTCTATCACTCTGCCTACTCTTTGTCTTTTTCCCCCCTTCTGTTCAGTTATGTCTGATTCTTGGAGATCGCTTGGACAAGTTCCTGCAGTTGTTTTAGCAGGGTTTTCAAGAATGGTTCATCATTGCTTGCTTCCTAGGGCCGAGAGAGAAAGAGAATGACTGGCCTAAATTCACCCATCTTGCTTTGTGCCTAAAGCAGGACTGGAACTTCCTAGTTCCCTGTTTCTAGGCCATCATCTTAACCTCTGCACCAACCTGGCTCTCTCTATCTTAAATGGGGGGGGGATTCCATTATAAGAGGTTCAAACACAGTAAGGGTTATATGAAATTCAGGCCTATCAATCTAGCTAAATGGGCAGAGACCTTGGAAGCCCTTTGGAAAAATCAAACTCAAACTTGGACTAATAAGGAGACCCTCAGATGGGCTTTAAAGAAAAGGAGAGGACAGTGCAAGTTTCTTTTGATTTTGTATTTTCCTGTCAGATCGCTCTGTCATGGCCAGCTAAAAATTACCGTAAGTAAGAAAGGAAGCCCATCTTGTAGTTATCCAGGTTGGAGAGCAGGCAATTATATAAACAGGTTAGGTCAGTAGTTCTCAACCTTTTTTTCACCCCTTTTAAATACGTTTTGTGGCCATAGACCCCGGCCATGGAACCTCAAGACTCAATTCAAGATTTAAATCGTAACATTTCTTCAAGTCTTCGCGAAACTTCTGTGATGACATCATGGCACTCCAGGGGTCCACGGACCACAGGTTGAGAACTACTGGGTTAGGGGACTGGTAGAGCTTAAAAATAAAATTGTGCCTCCACCACCCCCAATACATGTCTCATATCTTTCACAGACATTGTGACCCACAGAAATATCTGTTTCTCTGTTGAAAGGCAAACAGAGGTTCCTGGAAGAAATCAGTTTCAGCTTCCTTTGAAATAAAACCTCCCTGTACATAGAAGATACTCAATGCTTCACATGCTATGATACAAAGTAAACTGCAATTAAAATAATATTAACAACAGATATGCAGAAAAAAAAGTCACCATAACCATCCCTACTATAGTTTGTTCTTTCTTTCTGCCTTTGTCAGTTTTAACTGGCCCAGATAAGTTGGTGCATGTTCTTTGAAACATTTTTTTAAACTGCAATTGGCTTGCTATTACCATCTTCTGGGGTGTGTGTGTGTGTGTGTGAGAGAGAGAGAGAGAGAGAGAGTTCCAGGAAACAATCAGCTCCCAACTTCCACGGTTACCTGTTCATCCCTGATATTAAGCCAGCTAGCCATTTGTGCCCAATGTGGGACTAGGAGTCATTGTTCCCTTGGTTTTTAGCCTTTAAAATATACTGTACGTAACTTCAGTGAGACAGTTTGTAAAAGGAAAGAAAAAGGAGGAGGAGAAGGAGGAGGAGGAGAGGGAGGAGGAGGAGGAGGAAGCAGAGAGAAGAGACCCCAACAGATGAAGTGATTAGATATTATTTATCACTGACACAGGCATTGTACAAAAGACTAGAGCTACAGGACCCTGGACAGCTCCATTCCTTTTGCTGAACGGGAGAACCTGCCCATAGATCTAGAATTATTTTTTTAATTACTTTCTCCCCGTTATTTTTCTGCTGAAAGCTATCAAGGGCTGTACACAACAAACAAAAGCAAATTACAAAAACAAGAGAAATAGCTCTAAGAAAAACAAAATTGAAAAGAAAATGGAGGATAAAGGGACAAGGAGAGATTGATCTTTGCATAACAAAATTTTCAAAAAAGAAACACAATTTTTTTTAAAAAGCCCTTGTCCATCTCAATAATGTCCATACCCATTGCAAAATCTCATAACATTGAATGTTCTTGCTTTGACACATATCTTATTTTAACTTTGATCAAATAAGCAACTTTATATTCCTTATTTTTACTCTGAAAATTTTAATCTTTAAAATTCGTCAGTCACTCTTTCTCAGTCCAAATCACCTTACAGAGTTATTGTTCTGGGGAAAATAGGAGGAGGAAGGTGTGTTGGATACCTTTACTGCCTTGAGTTATTTGTAAAAATAATAAAGGTGGAATACAAATAAAATAAGTAAATAAATAAATATTGTTGTCAGATTTAATCCCTCTTCAATTCTTCTTTCTCACATTGCATGGACTTCCTCAAGCCTCTTTTGTAAGTTGAATAAAAAGACATTATTCAGATAATTCCTTTGGTGTAATTTTGTAAATCCCAATCCCAATCAAACTCTAGGCAGGTTTTTCCCCCCTTCCTTTTTCCCTAGAATTTTTAGTCCCCTCTAGTGCCTAATTTAAATCATAAGGTCTCTAATCTCTGTTAGGACCTATAGTAGACAAAATAATTCTGGTTCTCCCCCAAAATCTGTTTATTTTATATAATTAATTCCAAAATCTTGAGGTAAAAGTTCCAATATTCCAAATTTGTCTGGATACTTAAATAATTTATAACTTTCTTGGGTCAAAATCTTATTTATCTTTTTTGCCATTTATTTCAGCTTTTTAAGTTCATAAATATATAGTCCTTTTCTTTGGTTTAGAAGTGAAGGTAAACTCATTAGCAGCTTTTCAAACACCTTTTTGAAGATCTTCAGTACTTTAAAGATAATTAAATAGGCAATTCTGAAAGTGATTAGTGAAAGGCTCTGCCATAGTTAATGAGCTTGATGACTGAGCCTTTCATTTTCCAGCAATGAAACCCATGGGAAGAGCAGCCATCCAAGGCACAGATGGGTGATCTCCCATCTTCTTCATGTCCAGATGGAAGGAAGACCAGGGTTATGAAGAACCAGTGTACTTGCCAGTTCTTCAGTCTTTGCCATGGTTATCATCTCCATTCTCCATGGAGATGTGTTTGCTTGCCATGCCTCCACTTAGATTGCACACCAGATTTGAATGAGGAAGTACAATTCCTTCCAAAAACAGAGATTAAAGACAAAGAATTCTAGGATCTAGGGAGTCCTAATAGGTACAGCCATTCAATCTTGGTACAATCAAGACAGAACATCAACTATATCACTTGAACAATGCAGAGTTGATATGTATAAATGGGTATCAGCAATCTGTTTATTTATTTATTAATAAAATTTATATGCCGCCCAATCCCTAGGGACTCAGGGTGGCGTACAAAATTAAAACAATAAATATAACAATAAAAATAAGTGCATTCATACAGCATGTCCCAATCGTATCCCCCCCCGGGGACATCAACCCCAGGCCTGCCGGAACAGGAGAGTTTTAATGGCTTTCTTGATACTATACCCCAAACTGACAGATGATATCACATTATGGTTTTATATAGATGTTAAACAAGAGGGGAGAGATTATTGAGCCCTGTGGCACCACTCATAGAAGGGGCTGAGGGTGCAATCTCTACCCCTCTGTCAATACCAATCAGAAACTGCCATGAAGGAAAAAGGAGAACCAACCTAATATGGTGCCCCATTTCCCAAACCTCACAGCCAGTCCAAAAAGATATTGAGACTGTATCCAAAGCGGCTGAGAAATCAAGGAGAGGTCAATGAATGCACCATCCCTCCCAACAACATCAAAAGTCATTGACAAACATAATTATTACTGACTCCATACTAAATCCTTGAATTCTAACTGGAACAGATATCAATAATTTGCTTCCTCCAAACTTAACTAGACTCTGACCATCTTCTCAACAACAGAGAAGGTCCCATTTTTAAATGGAAAGTTGAAGACATGACAATAACTGTATAAAAAAATTTGTTGATTCCAGGCACAGCCTCTTGAGGGGGCACATTGCCTCCTCTTTCAAGGCTCTCCTTGAAACAGGCCAACTCCACAGCATGGACCCAACTGCAGGATAGCTTTTGAGTGCCTTCAACAACCTGGGAGAGACATAGATGTAAACAGCTTGGAGAATCCTGTCCACTTCCTCGAGAGTCACCAATTCAAACTCATTCTAGCTTACACTGCAAGACCCAGGCATCTTAGCTAGACCTTCCTAGGTGGAATCCACCTCTGAGTGGGATGTGCATGACTTATTATAAGCCAAGCAGTTAGATTATTCCTCACAGCAGCCCTGCAGATGATCCTGTGGCCCACCCTTCCCCAACTAACACAGGGCAGCTGAATGACTATTGGCAGACATGAAAAGAATAGAGAAATATAGATATTTTACTGTTCTTATCATGAGTAATCCAGTATATGGATTATATTATGAAAACATCATCACACTTTCGCCAAGCAAGTGCAAAGTTATGCAGATAATAGGAAGCTTTATGGATACTGTTTGTGCAGAAGAGGAACCTTGTTGCAACAGTAGGAAACCTGAAAACAGGCAAATACTTGCCTTCACTTGAAAAAGAAAGTTATAGAAGAGGTCCATTCTAAGTGTGGAAGAGGAAAATGCATTCTCCATGGGAGGAATAAAATAATTGGGTAAGGCTAATGGTGATAGATTCATGCCTATCAATTTTAAAAATGATCCTTGTAATTGTACCTCTCACAATAATTTAAATGTATCAACCAAATCTTTTTACAGTAAGCGGATAAAACAATACATTTAACCCTGCAAATCAAGTTTTTTTGAAATACAAATAGCTGAGTGGAGAATAAGCAGTATTAAGACTGCAGTGGTATGTTCTCAGAGTTTGCAACTGGATTAAAGTGTTATGCAGATTTGCCCACTAGGTGTTGTTGCTATTTACTTATTTAAGCTTTCAAAGCTACTTTTTCTAAAGCGAGTGATATATATTGATAATACCCTATCAGATGAGAAAAAGCAAGTCCTACTCTGATCCATAATATTAATATACTGGTGATAATATACAGGTTTCCTAATATAAGACTGCACACTACAACCGGTGATGTTTGCTGTTGGGAAGTAGACTTCTGGAGATCCAGCACATTGAGAATAATACTGTTTGCCCCAATAAAGTCTTGTTTATTAAAAAAAAAACAGTTATGTTTGGTATCCACCAACCTAGCCAATTTTAGATTGCTTGGTATTCCTGTTGAAATGTTTTATTTTTGATTAACAAGTTCCCTGAAGAGTGTCTTCATAATTTATATTTTCTTTCCTTGGAGAGCCACAATGAAAATGAAATATCTCCATCTCATTACAATAAGGGTCCTATTTATACCACTGCTTAGTCACCTCTGCTTCAGGAAGAAAAAGGTTACACTGCAAAGACTTTGTTCTTAGGTGAATGATTGTAACAAGGTGTATCATCCTCATGAAAGAGATCCATTTTTAGTGAAGACATCAAGGCTTCCAATTCCAGTAGAGCTATGGTAACGTATCCAATTATATTTTATGGGCAAAGAATATGATCTTCTTAATGCTTTATTCAGCTTTATCTCCCCCTTTCCTTTGTGTCTGCATATACAGTAGTATATGCCAAAATTGTGGAAACCTTTTGGGAAAAGTGTACAGTAGAAATGCCACCTTTGGTTAAGTTTCCACCACTTTTTCTTCTAATTTCTTTATAACTGTAGCCTTGTTCACTTAATAATACTATTTTACATCGTTTTCTGGGCAACCAGTCAACTCTCTGCACCATTACTATTCCCCTAAATTAAGCCATTTCAGCTTAATTTATAGGAAGAAGGAACTGGGTTATTGGCAAAGGAATTCTGGAGCCCTTTTGTCATTTTTTAAAAAAATAACGTTCTTAATTAATCAGTCCAATTATCAGAAACTTTTCTTTTAACGTCCATTCCCCTATTTTAACACTCATAAATAATTTCTCATTGTATATTCCCCCATCTACAGTATCTAAAAACAAACAAAACTAGTCCTAATATATCAACAAGATTCTCAGTTGCTCAGAAAAAGTGAAAAAGGAGAGATTTATGCAGACCTTGGCCATATTTGGAGGGAGTGGCTTTTTTCAGTTGTTGGAATGCAAATTAAAATAAGCTGTATGTCTTTCATAAGCAAAATTCCTATGGATAATATTTAACAGCTGTACATCTATTTCTATCTCTCAAACTAGTTTATTACCTTTTTATCTAGCTGAAATACAGAGCAGAGAAGTAGACAAGAACTTGGTCCTAAATGCCTGAGTTGCATGATGAACATGGAGCAGAAGAATCAAACCATCTTTGCTGGATTCATCCTTATGGGTTTCTCCTCCTCACCAGACCTCCAAGTGCTTCTCTTTCCCATCTTCCTCTGTATGTACCTACTTTGTCTGCTAGGAAATCTCTTGATAATCTTGCTGATCTTCTCCAGTACCAATCTCCTCCACACTCCCATGTATTACTTCCTCTGTCACTTGTCATTGGCTGACCTTGGATTCAGTTCTGCTGCAGTGCCCAAATTGCTATACAACTTAGTGACCCAGACGAAAGCAATATCCCATAATGGTTGCCTGACACAGATGTATTTCTTTGTGAGTTTTGCTGCGACAGATAACTTTCTCTTGGCCTCCATGGCATATGACCGCTATGTAGCCATCTGCCGCCCATTGCACTATGCCAGAGTCATGAGCTTCAAGTGCTGCCTTCTGTTGGCTGCTGGATCTTGGCTCCTGGCTCACTCCCACTCTTTGTTGTACATCCTGTTAGTATCTAATTTTACTTTCTGTGCTTCCCGAGAAATCCCCCATTTTTTCTGTGACCTCCATCCTTTATTGAAAATCTCTTGTTCGGACACCTCCATTGTTGATAAGCTTCTTGTGAGCGAAGGAACAACCATTGTTCTTGGGCCTCTGCTTCTCATTATTTTCTCTTACATCTTCATTGTCATGAAGGTGGTGAAGCTTCCATCTAAGTCCAAGAAGTACAAAGCTTTCTCTACTTGCAGTGCCCACCTCACCACTGTGGCTTTGTTCTATGGCACTGTGATAGGCACCTATCTCCGCCCATCATCTTCCTATTCTGTCTCAAGGTTGAGAGTGGCATCAATATTCTATACAGTAGTCACCCCTATGCTCAACCCTTTCATATACAGCCTGAGGAACAGCGAGATACACACAGCCATAAAGAGACTGGTAAGGAATTGGTTTTAGTGGAACCAGCATCCTCAGCCATAGGTACAAATAATCTTGCCTGTCAATGGAAAGTTGGCCAATGATTCCTGGCATTTAGAGTTACTTTTTATATTAGCTATTTCTCAACATACAAAGGTGCCTGGAGATCTGTCAATAACATTATAAGCCATTCTGTTCCGTGAAGCAAACTTCAACTGTCAGAAAACACCCTGCTTATTGTCTGAAAGAACTTCTGTGATGCCTTTTGACACTGGCAGTATTTTTTTTTTGCAAGCTATCAGAGCTGCTGGTCTCATCACAAGGCAGGGTTTTCCAAGTGGTGTTTGCTCAAAAATAAAGTTTATTTATTTCCCTGGGAACATTTTGGCCGAAGCGTATGAAGCAACTAGTGTTTATTATTGCTTTTAAGGAACTGATTCTTTTGCAAGGTAAAAGCCAGAATTCTCGCTTAATGTATTGTGTACGTTTGTGTGTCTCCGTGGGTGTTCAATTGATTATTGGATGCTATAGATTTCTTGGCTACATTTTTGTATTTTCCTATTGCCTTCCTCCTACAGAAAGTCACCCTTTGGACCTAAGGCAGGATTAGAACTTATTGATCCCTGGATCTAATCTGGTGCCTTCAACCTCTACACTAAATCCCTAAATCTCCATTATTTTCTTCTTACAAAAATTACTTGGAAATATCTATTCTTGTTACAGAGGAAATTAGAGAGTATGAATAATTAACCATCCTTCAGTTGGTTTCTCTACAACGTTACCAAGTTGGCTCTGCTTTTCTGATTAATTTCGTTTGCTTTTATCCTGCCCTTAAAGAAGTCTCTTCTTCTTCTTCTTTTTAAGCATGGCTGTTATCCATAAATGTGAAATACTAGGTATTTCAGTTCTAGGTTACAAGAGTCTGAAATTAATCACAGTGAATCATCAACTCCTCTTCCACCAGATTTCTGTCTTCCTGAATCACAGCATTTACTTTTCTTGCTGTCAGTCAGAACCATCTCCCAGTGCCAAAGATTTGCTGGTGAAATCACAGGATTTTTTTTATAGGCTATTTTGATTTCCTTGCCATATATTGGGAATTAAGTCCCTGAATTTAAAACTATCTGTCTTTTGCTAACTTGTGTTGTGTCTCTCTGTCTAACCTACCTCACAAGGTTGTTTGGGGAAAAATGGGAGGGTGAAGTACTCTCTATGTTGTCTTGAATTTTTGCATGAAATGTACGATATAAATCAAGGAAACAAATATATTACCTTTTGTTCATCCCTACAATCAGTAAAACATATTATTCCTATTTTGTTAAAACCTACGGGTTGAAAGTAAATGTTTCAATACAAATACAAATAAACTATCATGCAAACTGGTAACTGTATCATCAATTGATCTTATTGTTTCTCTCATAATTAATAAAGGGATGAAAGTATTATCTTTTCTGCCTTCCTTTTTTTGATCTGTGTAGACTTCAAACCCTATGATATGTGTTTCTACACAAACAGTTTATTATTGCTTATTGCAAATCAAATCTTTATTGTGGTCAAAGACCAGTACAAGAAGGATGGGATACAGCCAACTAAAAAGTATAGAGAATACATTGGAATCTAAAAAATAATAATTATAAAGGGTTTTAAAAATATAAAACAGAAGTATGTATAAAAAACAAAAGTCTAAAACAAATCTAAAAAGAGGAACATTAAATGAGCATGAGGAGCATGAAGTTTAGTATGTGACAGACTAAATCTATTCCAATGCAGAGTCCTCTAGAATTTCCAAGCTAGATGCTCATTAAGACTAATTTATGGCACAAGTCATCATCATTCCCTTCAAAACATAACATTATATGTTGTAGCAGGGTTGGTATCTAAAAGCAGAAGGGGGTAGAATTCACCCTGGGTATGTATGCACCTACAAGGTTAATATGAATGTGTCCACTGTCCGGCTAGCGAATTCAACATTGAGGAAACTTTACAGCTTTGAGGTGCCATAAAAGATAAACTTTATTGAATACACATTTTGGTACTAAAGAAGCAAAATCAACTCTAGTTTTCTCGCGTGAAAATCTGGTTAATTAACAATAGCTTTTCATTACCCCCACCCACCAAGTGTTCATGTTGCCCAATCACATCCCTTTGGTTTGTTATGGGAACAGTCCACTTCTCTGTCAGATACCTGCTTTTGTGACCTTGGGTCTCATGGTCCGTGGATGGCTACGTGAAACTCCTTTTTCTTTCCCAGGCTTTCCCTCCCCTTTGTTTCTGTGGCAAGTTGAGTAGCGACAGAGGTTAGCAAGCATTTTAGCAATTCAATCTTGACAGAATGTCTCTCTAATACAGGCACTGGAGAAGCACAGCGTTGTTGTTTCTGTGTCTTCAGAGTCACAAGGGCATTGACTCTCCTTGTAGGGAATCTACCTGCATTGGCCTTCAAGGACAGCTGAAGGGAGGGGAGGGCATGACATTGTGCCAGAGTAAAGGCCCTTTGGTGTTAGGTATTTTGAGATTAGTGAGGTAAACCATAAGGGAGGCAGAGTACCTGTTGGGATTCACTGGCATCAAAGGCTGGGTCCTGACTAGATCCAATTGGTGCTCTGGTCTTTGCCACATGCTGTTTACTAAGTGTTTTGGGCCAATCATATCTCATGCTGAGTAGAAGGTCTGGAGAGAATCTCAAGGACGAGAATTTAATTGCCACTGCCAATGATCCCTGAAAATCATGCTTCATAGTTGGCGGGGATTGCTCATTGCAGTTTTTCCCAACATTGGGTCCTCTTTTTTACAATAATTTTATTGAATATTACAATTATAGAGATATAAAGTTACAAAAAATAAAGAGGAAAAAATGTAAAGAAGGAAAAATGTAAAAGAAAGAGAAGAGAAGAAAGAAAAAAATAAGAATATAAAGAAAAAAGAAATATAAAGTAACTTCCCCCTTGTCTCAACAAGTGTAAACAATTTTAACAACTTATTATTTTTGCTTAAAATACAACAATATCTTCCCCCTATATCCTATCCATAGACAATCCTTAAAACCTCATCATTCAACCACTTCAAATAATGTCCTAGAAGTTTTCAATTTCTTTTCTTTTTTTCCTTTTGTCTCTTCTTACCAAGTCTTGCAAAAAATAAAAAAAAAATCTCTTTTGTAAATCTAGGAACATTATCCAAGTTATTCTCCTAGTTGTTTGTTTGTATGTCTTTTAATTATTAAAACATCAAATGGTTTCCTGTACATCCAATATTTCAAATTCTACTTAACACAAACTGGCATAAAGATTGGCTTATCACTTGCATGCTGGAATGGATTTTACAGCATGTTTCTGTGAATTTAAGAGAAATGATGTTCTTCACATCCCACCTCCCAAAAAGATTATATTAGTGTTGCAGATTTCGGAAATCTTTCAACTATGCAGAAATATTGCTAGTTTTTATTTGGCTTGATAATTTCTATTAGATGGAAAATAATTAAATTACCAGAAAATGTCACACTGAGCACTTCAACTCTGAGTCTCATTCTTCTGTCCTACCTTCAGGTCTTCCAAGTTTTTATTCCTGAAAATTTAATCAGTATTTATTTCACTGAGCATAGTTTTCATTGGGCTTTTTTTTCAAAATGTTGGAGTAATAAACCCACTCAAATGTTTCCATTGATTTTTAAGGGCAGATCTCACTTTCCTCCATTTTTCATGCTAAATATTTCTAGATGTTCTGTGCTTGATAGATCTTACTCTCCTGAGGTGATCACAAGGAAGCACCTGAGAGAAGTTATGAAAGACAGAGGGATGTCGACCGTAATAGGTCAGATTTTTCAGGACCCCGGACAGTTCCATATTTAGATCCAATCCTAATTAAGACCACGAGGGTATCTGCTATTTGTAGTTCAGGGTTGACATTAGGGGTCCATGGTGCTCTTTGAGCTTGCTTGCTTTCTTGCAGACATTTCATTACCCCAGCATTGATGATGTTACGTAGTTTGGGTAATGAAATGTCTGCAAGAAAACAAGCAAGCTCAGAGAGCGCCAAGGAATCCTCGTGGTATCTGTTCTGTTCCTGATAACATATTAAAATGAAAAAAAATTGCCTTTAAAATAAACTAATTGAACTGTTTGTTTTAGAATATATTTTTCCATGTATATCATGAGTAGAAGAGACAGTAACATATTGTTTAATTTCTTTATATATCCAGTATTCTTTCATCATTCTAGCCATTGTCTATCCACTGCAAGATGAAGGCTTCTTCTGCATGTTTCCAACCGAAATGGTCCTGAGCTTTCTTTTGCCAATTGGGCCTGCAATACTTGCTGATGTCATTTTAGGTCTCTTTTGTGGATGCTTTTTTATCAAGTGGGATCCATTCTATGCCTGACTTGGTCCACCTGCCATCTTCTTGCTACGTGACCAGCCCATTTCCATTTCAATTCTTTTACTCTCTTGATGATATCGTATACTTTTGTTTCTTCTCTAATCTATGTGCAGGTCTTTCTATCTTGTCTTGTAATGCTGAGCATGTATCTTTCCCATGGCTGTTTATGCACTTGTAGTTTTTATATCAATTGTGAGGTTAGTATCCATGTAAGAATAGAATAGAATAGAATAGAACAGAGCTGGAGGGGACCTTGGAGGTCTTCTAGTCCAGCCCCCTGCTCAAGCAGGATAACCTATACCATCTCAGAGAGGTCTAGTCTCTTCTTAAAAATCTCCAGAGATGGAGTACCCACGATTCCACTGGTTGATTGTCCTCACTGTCAGGAAGTTTCTCCTTAATTCCGGCATACGTTAGAGCAGGTAGCACACATACTGATCAAAAACCAGTATTCTTGACATACTCCAATATCCAGCATATTGGTATACTTGCTCCAATTTTCACGTAGCGTGGTACAATATAATACAAATTTGATGGATTATAATTTGGTAAATTCCTATTTAGCAGAGCTGCAAGATCAATATTCCCCAGGAGAGAGATATAATCTCCCCTAAGTTATAATTTTTCTTCAGTTGAAAATATGACCATGCAGCCACCTCCAATTTCCTTTTATAGCTTCTTCTAAACTTCACAGTAGATCAATCTTCATTTCTGTAGCAATTTTGCCTGCCGTTCTTTCTATTTGGCAAACTTTTCTGCTACCTTGTCTGTGTGCTGTATCATTTATTTTTCTAACAATAGCATTACCAAAACATTAAGTTTATCTTGGCCAATCACTTCTTACTTAAAAACATTACTCCGGAGGTAAATATGCTGAAAGGATTTAATTGGATTTCTTGTTGTAGAGTTTCAGCAGTTTATAAGAGCTGGGTTCTAGTCTGACGGAAATTCTTATGTTCCCTGTTATCATTGAAGAAACATGTTGAATTATAGAAAAGCTACTAGAGAGAAAATCAGAAAATCTCTATCCTAAAATATATGATGGTATATTGATTATAAATTGGAAACTTTTCAGTTGCTGGAGTTCTTGTAACTGTATCCCATTCATCTCAATAGATTGTGCTAAAGAAAACTCTGTGGAGTTCCATTTACCTGAACCAGACCCTCCTGCTTAGCCTGAAAACACTTTTTTTTTTCAGGAAAAAAAGACTGTTTGCCAATCATGCAATTGCCGTGGGGCATTTTTCGCTTAAACATAAAGCAACTAGTTTGGCCCTGAACCCAAAAAACTTTCCTTTCCTTTCCTTTCCTTTCCTTTCCTTTCCTTTCCTTTCCTTTCCTTTCCTTTCCTTTCCTTTCCTTTCCTTTCCTTTCCTCTCCTCTCCTCTCCTCTCATCTCCTCTCCTCTCCTCTTCCTTTTTCCTTCTTTCGTCTGCAACCAAGAACCTAAAGTTATGATTCTAAGCAACAGAAAAGCAATAGAAAATCAAAAGAAGCTAGGATTAAATGGTAAGGTGAAGGTCACTGAGAAATCTTCAATAGATATAATGCAATAAAACATTTAATTTGTTTTCCCCCCTCTCTTTTTTCTTGGGAGGGTCTGCTCTCAACAAGAGCCTATTAGTACCTAATAATTAGAGGCATAGCAATGGCCAGGAAAAAATATGAACTGAGCCTTATAGAGCTTACACGTGAGAAGATGTTCATGAGGACTATTGGGGAAGGGAACGAATCCTAATCCTGACAATATCTTTAATATTGGAGTGGTAAACAGATGATAATATAATGCACTTGAACCAGTCTCTGATGTCTCTATGAAGTAGATTTTTGAAGGTCTGCCTAATACTGTACAGATACTGTTTTACGTTTCTTTTTTGGCCAGATTGACTACGTTTTGTTTCCCTCAGAAACCTGTGCTTGACATCAACTTTCCGATTCAATCTTACATCACTTGTTATTGCTGTTGAATGTTCTAGCTTGGGTTAACCAGTTCCCCAAAGAGCCTTGTTTTTGCACCAATGTCTCTTCCTTGGGGTGCCACAATCTAGAAATTATCCCTGCCTCCTCACCATTGTCTGCACATCTGCTTTGAGAGAGGAAATGCTCTCCCATGAAACCTGAACCCTTGTTCAAAACTGAAAAAGTTGTAAAGAATCTCTTCACCAAAAAAGAAACTGGACCTCAGTGGAGATATCAAAGCTTTTTTGCCAGAGGTACAGTCTAATATTTAGTATTCTTTTTTTTTTACTGGACACAAACCAGTAAACATTTTATTTAAGAGTTTTCTCTTTCTCTCTCTACATCAGAAATGTACAGAATTGCACTTCATCCTCATACACTATTGCTACCCTGCGTGCTGTATTTGAGTGAAACCCAGAAGGAAGGCAATTCCTTGTTCAGCTTTTCTCTCCTCTCCCTCCCTCCAATTCCTTTAATGCAGAGCGCATTTTTGCAAAGCTGTGGCATATATAGAAGCTGTGAGATGAAGAGTCCAAGAAAGAAAGTTGAAAAGGACTGTTATGGATAGAATTTGGTTTGTTCTACAGTAGCTAAATACTGTAGCGCAGGAAACAGTCACAGAATCTGAGGAAAGGCTGTTGTGTAACTGCTTTGCATACAGCATTTTGCAAAGTTGTGTTTTATATATAGAGGCAATGAGATTAGGTGATGCAGCAGTGAGAAGACATTGCAATGGAAGGATTAAGTTATTCCATTTAGACTCCTTGGCTAAGGAGCATAGGAGGCAAAGGCTGGTTCTCAGCTGGGGAGAAGAGGCTGTAGATGCTGAATGTCACAATGGAACTCCTCCTCCCTCTTCGGATAGGGCTGGGAAAAGTGCTTGTCAGAAGGAGCCCATCTATGACAGTCAGGGCATTGAGGATTGGAGGCAATGGATTAAAGCTCTGCCTCAGTAGAAGGCCTCCATATGATCATTTACAAGGAACTCTCATTCTTATAGACTACTTTATATACAAAGGGTTCTCAACATATTGCATTGTAAAAATGGAACCCAGTACAGTTGTGTTGTGTGGTTCCTCTATCAAATTATCCTCCTCAAATTGCCTTTTTGCAAACTGGAAGATAAAGATATGGATGGGATATGAAGGTGTTGGTGAATGCAGAAAAGGAAATTGAAAAAAGACTGTTATGGATAGAATTTGATTTGTCCTACAGTAGTTAAATACTGTAGCACAGGAAACAATCACAGACTTTGGAGAAAAGCTGTTGCGTAACTGCTTTGCATACAGAATTTCCCAAACACAATCCTTGGTCATCCACAAAGAGCCATGATGCTGCTGCCAGTTAGGACACACGAGGATGGATGAAATAGATGAATGATCTGTGGCAAGTGGAAGACAGCTTGCTGTATTTTGAAGGCTACTAAATGGGCCATTTCAACCTGAGTATTTATCACTTCAGAGGAAGAAGAGACCGTCTTACAGGCAAGGAACAATGAAATAATTTTGTTTGTAATACACTATATCATCACAATTAGATTGTTGAATAAATATTTATAAAAGTACACTCTATGTTGGTCAGTTTCTTTAGCCAGGCTCACCTTGATTCAGAAAAGTCACTCACCAGTCATTTCAACTATCTCTAAATCAGGCCTCAAGAGTGAATAAAGAAACTGGGGGATTTTTTTTCCTAAGGTGACTATATATCACTTTAGAATGGATCACCTTCAGTATCATCTCCAATTCGAAATGTCATTCCTCCAAACTGGAGAAGCCACGTGAAACTCTTTTGTTTTAACTGTCCTAAACAATTAAGTGGCATCTGCTATTTAGACACCAAACTCACAACAACACATGCCTAAGCCATAAATAAAATATCATAACACCAACCTATATTCCGTGAGCCTAGGAGCTATCGCAAATAGAATACTAAACATCTAATATCAATCTTCTTTATTGCAAGTTTATGTTCTGTGACGTGAATTTGAAGAAATTTGTGTATGCCTTTACCATTGCCAGATATATACTGAAATAAATGTGCTGCCCATGTCCCATTGCTGGAATACAAATCAAAATAATTCAGTTGGCTTAAAGACTTGAAATCACTCATACCAATTTCTCCCATATCCTGAAGTACTGTATTTCTTTTCCTTCATATCTAGGTGAAATACCAACCAGATATGTAAATACAAATATGCAAAAATCTGTTTTTTCAGCTGACCTATGGAAAAGAATCAGGAGAACCAAACCAACTTTGTTGGATTCATCCTCCTGGGTTTTTCTTCCTCTCCAGAGTTTCAAGGACTACTTTTTCCTGTTTTCCTTTGTATGTACTTGCTTTGTCTGCTGGGAAACCTCATGATAATCCTGCTGATCTTCTCCAGTGCCAGCCTCCTCCATGCTCCCATGTATTTTTTCCTCTGTCACCTGTCATTGGCTGATCTCGGATTGAGCTCCACCATTGTACCACAAATGCTGCAGAGCCTGCTGTCCCGCACAAACTTCATATCCTTTAGTGGTTGCCTGACACAGATGTATTTCTTTGTGAGCTTCTGTGCAGCAGATAACTTTCTCCTGGCCTCCATGGCATATGACCGCTACGTAGCCATTTGTCGTCCATTGCATTATGCAACAATCATGAGCTACAGGCATTGCATACAGCTGGCTGCTGCATCTTGGCTCCTGGCTTATGCCCACTCCCTACTGTATGTCCTTTCAATGTGTAATTTTAAGTTTTGTGCTTCCCGAGAGATTCCCCATTTCTTCTGTGACCTCCATCCTTTGCTGAAGCTCTCCTGCTCTGACACCTCATCTGTTGAAATGCTGCTTGTCACTGAAGGCACTGCAATTCTTCTTGGACCCCTTTTGCTGGTTATTTTTTCCTACCTTTTCATTGTATTCAAAGTTTTGAAAATATCCTCAGGCCTCAGGACATACAAGGCCTTCTCCACCTGCATCTCCCATCTTACTACGGTTGCTTTGTTTTACGGGGCCCTGTTAGGCATCTACATCCGCCCGTCCTCCACTTATGCTGGGTCAAAATTGAAAATTGCATCCATATTATACACAGTGGTGACTCCCATGCTCAATCCTTTCATATACAGCCTGCGGAACAGTACAATGCACGAGGCTTTGAAAAGAATATTAAGAGGCTGGTTTCAGAAGAGATGACCTGTAATGAAACTGAAGCTGCCGCAAAAGAAATTGCAAATCAGCTGGAAAATCAGTAAGCATGGCACTCAGACAAAATATGAGATTTTTTTTATGGAACCTTTGTTGTTCCAGATTGAAAATAAAAGCCCTATCTTTTTTTCCCCTTCCAATAAAAACAGGGCAAGGTTCTCTAAGAAGGCCAACTGATGGTTGTAAACTTCATATATTATGTCTTTCATTTTGAAATTTAAAAGTGAATTCTTACGGTGTCTGCAAGATGATGTTTTTATGCTATATTGTTACTATAATAAAGGACACTATTGGCTCTGAAGATTATCCCATAAATCTTTAGTCTTCTTTTGGTAATCTCAGTATATCTTGTATAATCTTTAAATTTCCTGAATTTCCAGAATGTTCACATTTTACATTTTGGCTTTCAATGTTCGTGTTTGAATGAAATAATAAGCATGAATTACTTAATAGCATGGGATTACACCTTTGCCAATATGAATTTATTTTATCAATATGTATCTATGTTTTTACTCTGCTGTGAAACAAATTTTCTTTTGCACGCTTATGAGAAATGAATCTTCATATCATGAAAATATGGGTCCCATGAAGACAGATCTCCATCAAGTCCTGGGAATGCTTTCCTCCAGACTTCCTGCCTCTCTTTAAATCTTTTTAAACTCCTTCACAGTCTTCCAGCTCTGGCTGCCAATGACACATTCTCATCAAACAGTTATTGCCTTTGAAAGGAGGCCTTGCTACACTTTGTGATGTGTTCTGCTAGGTGTCTAATAAATGCTTTTACTTCTTCCATCAACAGTGCCTAAGCTGTTTTAAGGTGGGTATGGAAAGAGATGTGGAGGACAAAACCAATGAGACTGACCCTGGTGGCATATCAATCACAACAGGCAAGAAGCTGAGGCTAGACAGTTATGGATTTATTCTCTGTCCCCATCTTTGTCTATCACTCTGCCTACTCTTTGTCTTTTTCCCCCCTTCTGTTCAGTTGTGTCTGATTCTTGGAGATCGCTTGGACAAGTTCCTGCAGTTGTTTTAGCAGGGTTTTCAAGAATGGTTCATCATTGCTTGCTTCCTAGGGCCGAGAGAGAAAAAGAATGACTGGCCTAAATTCACCCATCTAGCTTTGTGCCTAAAGCAGGACTGGAACTTCCTAGTTTCCTGTTTCTAGGCCATCATCTTAACCTCTGCACCAACCTGGCTCTCTCTGTCTTAAATGGGGGGGGGGATTCCATTATAAGAGGTTCAAACACAGTAAGGGTTATATGAAATTCAGGCCTATCAATCTAGCTAAATGGGCAGAGACCTTGGAAGCCCTTTGGAAAAATCAAACTCAAACTTGGACTAATCAGGAGAAGGTTTCCCCTCAGATGGGCTTTAAAGAAAAGGAGAGGACAGCGCAAGTTTCTTTTGATTTTGTATTTTCCTGTCAGATCGCTCTGTCATGGCCAGCTAAAAATTACCGTAAGTAAGAAAGGAAGCCCATCTTGTAGTTATCCAGGTTGGAGAGCAGGCAATTATATAAACAGGTTAGGTCAGTAGTTCTCAACCTTTTTTTCACCCCTTTTAAATACATTTTGTGGCCACAGACCCAGGCCATGGAACCTCAAGACTCAATTCAAGATTTAAATCGTAACATTTCTTCAAGTCTTCGCGAACCCTCTGTGATGACATCATGGCGCCCCAGGGGTCCACGGACCACAGGTTGAGAACTACTGGGTTAGGGGATGGTAGAGCAAGATCCGGTATTGATTGGAGTGTAGGACACTAGGCAATTTGTGGGTTGGCTAAGGGGCCAGCTGTCTCAAATCCACCACTTGTAGATTTCACTTCTCCTTCCTCTTTTTCTATCTGTCATCTTTGTTCAAGTTTTTTGGATCTCAATATGCATAATAAGAACTTGGTGAAGCAGTGAGGCTCATTGTAGGAAAAAGAACTAGACTTTAGATGTTTTTGACAAGTTTTCTATTATGTAGAAGTATGAAATTACGAGATAAGCATCTAGTTCCTAGTAAAATGGCATAGCTCCCACATAGAATGAGTTCCAGATTACAGGAAGTGGTTTTCTCTTCTTAAATCAAACTTCCATGCAGGCTTTCAGATCTATCTCCCAGTATCATCCCAGATTAATGCATTTTTAAATGATATTTCCAGTGCTGGATCTATATTTTTTTTTTGCTTTTTTCTAATCAATACTGTTATTTTTTTCTCCTAACAACATATCAGTACAGGTGTTCCAAACATGGGAGGGGGAGAGAAAGAACATTTAATTCATAATCGTTGAAATGTGTCAAAATCAGCATGGAACAGCAGTTGAGTTTTTCCACTTCTGTAGTAAATGTTAAAGTGTTGAAGGCACTTCTTGTTAAATGTGATGATCTCCTGTCTGCTGCCTATCTCAAACAGTGATCTCAGCTGTGAAATATTCTGTTCTGTATTCGTCTTTGTGTGTGTAGCAAGAAGTTCAACTGGCTGAACGCAATCTCTTCAGCAATAAATATTTTTTTCTCCTATTTTTTTCCTTTCTTCTTTTGTGTTTGTCAGCTTCCTTCTAGTTCTTTGACCTTGATTCCCAAATAAGGACTTGATGAAAAGGAACTAGCCTTTAGTTCATCTCAAATTTCCTTCTGGGGGTGCTAATGAAGGAAGAAAGATCCCCATTTGCTTCTTCTGGAGTAAACCAGGATAGAGGGAGATTTTTGGAATAAAATAGCTGATTGGCAGCATTACCAACTTCATTCTTCCCCAGAGTTGTGGAGAGATATATTGGTGTTACGGGTATTGAGTTCAAAGATTCAGTTGTGGGAGCCAGTGGGGATTAACCTACCACACCATGTAAGATTGTGTGTGCATCTCATTACAGACTTCAAGTTTGATTGACCTGTTTTATTTCCCAACAGGTAGATTATCAGGGCCATAAAGATTCTAGTCAGTGATGGGGTATGCATTTAAAGGACTATTTTGTTTTAAACATGCATAAGGGAACATCAATGTCAATGGTATGGGATGCAGGTAAAGCTTTCATGCGTGGGATTTTGATACAAATGAATAATACTCACAGACAAAAGCAGACTCAGAAACGTAAGGAGTTGGAAGATGAGATTAAATTAAAAGAAAAAATTTTGATTTCAAATCCTACAGATGAAAAGGTTAAAGAATCCATAAAATTGCTTAAATCACAATTTAATATGTTGATGGCTGACCAAATTGCAACTAACTTATTGTATATGAGACAAAATACATTTTGTAATGCTAATAAACCAGGGAGATGGTTGGCTTATCAACTCAGAAAGCAATAGAGACAGAGAATTATAGATAAAATGAATTATAATGGTAAATTGGTATATCAAAAGGAGTTGATTAAGAAATCCTTTTTAGATTACTATCAAAAATTATATAAGAGTACTAAAATACAGGTTTCAGATATAGATAATTACTTAAATAAAGCCAACTTCCCTAAATTAACAGAAGATCAGAAACAAGAAATTAATAGTCCAATTACCAGTGAGGAAATTGAGATAGTGATTAAAGAATTAAAATCAGGTAAAGCACCAGGTACGGATGGTTTGACATCTATTTATTATAAAACTCTGGTACAAGAGATGATTCAACCTTTAAGACAGCTTTTTAATAACATATTACAGGGTTTAGAGATCCCCCCGTCATGGGGTAGAGCCTTTATATCTTTAATTCCAAAAGAAGATCAAGATCTTACTTTACCAAAGAATTATAGACCTATATCTCTTTTAAATGTAGATTATAAGATTTTTGCAAAAATATTAGCTAATAGGCTTATGAGGGTTTTGTGTCAGATTATACATAAGGATCAAACGGGTTTCATAACTGGAAGGTACATGAAGAATAATGTCAGACAAATTATTAACTTATTAGAATATTTAGATAAAAATAATCAAGTCTCTGCAGGATTGATATTTCTAGATGCTGAGAAAGCTTTTGACCAATTGAATTGGCAATTTATGTTAAGACTAATTGATAAAATGAACTTTGGAGAAAAAATGTCACAAGCTCTTGGTGCTATTTATCAAAAACAAACGGCACAACTTATAGTTAATGGGGGTTTGTCAGAGGTTTTTATAATAGAAAAGGGGACTAGACAGGGATGTCCATTGTCACCTTTGCTGTTTGTCTTAACTTTGGAAATATTGTTGATTAAAATTCGAGAATCACAGCAAATAAAAGGAATAGAAGTTAACAAAAAAGAATATAAACTAAGAGCTTTTGCAGATGATTTGGTGGTTACCCTCTCCCAACCTACTCACTCCGTAATAGAGTTATTACAATTGATACATCAATATGGACGGGTTTCAGGTTTTAAAATTAATAACAATAAGACTAAAATATTACCCAAAAATATGACTAATATGGATAAGCAGACTTTGGTTAAACTGACAGATTTTGAGGTTGTTGATAAGGTAAAATATCTGGGGGTGACTTTATCTGTTTCTAATGTAAAATTGTATAAAAATAATTATGAAAGGTTGGGGGTCAGGATACAAAGAGACTTGAAAAATTGGGAGAAGTTGCAATTATCTCTTTTGGGAAGAATTGCGGTGATTAAAATGAATGTCCTGCCTAAATTCCTTTTTTTATTTCAAATGATACCTATCTTAAAGAATGAGGTCAATTTAAATGAATGGCAGAAAGGTATCAATAAATTTATCTGGGCAGGGAGAAAACCAAGGGTAAAGCTAAAAATAATGCAAGATATTTGTGAGAGAGGTAGACTCAAGGTACCGAATTTGAAATTGTATTATGATGCTGTGGCCTTAACATTAATTAGTGATTGGGTTAATTTAACAAATGTAGAAATACTCCTCTTGGAGGGTTGGGATTTACTTTTTGGATGGCATGCCTACTTAATTTTTAATAAAAAAGTTGACCGGGTTTTCAAATCTCATATTATAAGGATTTCTCTACTTTGGGTTTGGAGGAAATATTACAGAAGCGATTTTAAGATACCGTTATGGGCTATACCTTGGCATGCGATAGAGGGGATAAGGAGAGGAGTTAAGATGGATAGTGCTTCTTATGCACAATTGCTTAGATGGGATGGTAAAATTTGGCAGTTAAAATCTTTGGAAGATTTAGCACAAGAAAATATTATATATTCATGGTTTCAGTACAGACAAATAGCGGACCGATGGAAGATAGACCGTAATGTGGGCTTGCTTAGAGAAGATGAAAATTTTGTTAAACAAGTAAAAGATCAAAGACGAACTCATATTAAGAGAATTTATGGGTTGCTAGTAGAATTGGACTCAGAACCAGAATTAATTAAAGAATGTATGATTAAATGGGCACAAAATTTTGGTGAACCAGTTCTACTAGATACCTGGGAAATTATC